CAAGATGCGCATCGGACATCCCGTGTCGTTGATGTACTTTTGACAAGATAAATTTCGAAATACACTATTTGTTGTATCTGCTTTAGTGATAGTACTTTTCTTGTGTAGTTTGAACCGGGTATCAAAAAATGTGTTGGATAAATGCAAAAAATTAACAAAAGGTAACAAAAGGTGGTCAAATAACCGTTAATTACCTTATTCAGTCAGGTATTTGGCTAAGAAAAGGACAGAAATACCTCCTAATACACATGACCCTTGATGTTGATACCTCTATTAACTTATATTCTCAGGGTGTTGCAAAAATCAGGGGATCACTGTAATATGTAATGATTCTCCTGCATAGGGGATACGACATGCTGCAAGGATTAATAACCTGCAAGAACACGGCGCCAAGTCAACCCCGATGCATGATATTGATACTTTTGTAATTATGACCTTGCAGAATCTATATTCAAAGCTCACAATTATAATTTGATATTGTCGAATCCTCCAGAATTCGTTGTCCCTGATTGGACAATACTCTCATGTCCTCGGTCTAATCACAGATAGGTGTAGCAGCCTACTCAGCTTCGTTCCCTGTATGTGTGCGTTGCAAAGATGCACAGTCTTTCTGCCTTCGTATCTCGTGAATAAAAATAATCTGGAAAGCGCAATACACAGCAATCAAAGCTAAGATTTTGCTCTTTCTTGTTAGCCAGTTAGTTGACCTCAACTCGAAGTATTCGAAAATACCGCTGATCAGAAGGTAAATGTGAGTCGTTTTGTGGATCAGTATGGTTCACTCTAACATTTCAAAAATGAAGCTCACCACCGACATAGTAGACCAGAGTGGAACACAATAAAACTTCAAAAATCAAGTTCACCACCGCCAATGTTTGCATGATCCCACAGATATGACTCATGATTGGTTCTTTCTATGTGTTGCTAGCGCGAACGTCCATGCATAAAAATCTGGAACAGTACACGAGGTGCTCAATCGCTCAAGTACGAGATCGAAGGTCATTCTGTAAATGAGTCCGACGATTTGGATTGTCAAATCTCCTAAGGGTCGCACGATCAGGTGTCGTCTGAACTTTTCAGCGTGTTTGAGCCCCTTCAAAAGTATGCCACCAGTGCTTGCCAACCTGTGTGGGCGTTGTAGGGCATATGAAGAGCAAGTTGCTCTCGCTGTGCTCCACGACGCACCTGTGGTGACAGCGGCAGAATATCTCCTGGCTGCGATCAAGCGCGCAATTGCAGCATGGGAAGCGATGCCAACTTCCCTGATTAGTGGTTGATTTGAAAATCCAATTCCTGGTGAGCCTAATC